CCACACATAACACCACACATTACACCAACATAACACCACACATAACACCACACATTACACCACAAATAACATCACACATAACACCACACAACACCACACATAACACCACACTAACCCCACCACATAACAACACACATAACACCACACATAACACCACACATAACCCCCCAAATAACATCACACATAACACCACACATAACACCACACATAACACCACACATAACCCCACCATAACACCACAAATAACATCACACATAACACCACACATTACACCACACATTACACCACAAATAACATCACACATAACACCACACATAACACCACAAATAACATCACACATAACACCACACATAACACCACACATAACACCACAAATAACATCACACATAACACACACATAACACCACACATAACACCACAAAACATCACACATAACACCACACATTACACCACACATGACACCACAAATAACATCACACATAACACCACATATTACACACACATAACACGACACATAACCCACACATAACACCACACATAACACCACAAATAACATCAACAAAAACACCACACATTACACCACACATAACACCACACATAACACCACACATAACCCCACACATAACACCACACATAACACCACAATAACACCACACATTACACCACACATGACACCACACATAACACCACAAATAACATCACACATAACACCACACATAACACCACACATAACACCACACATAACACCACACATTACACCACAAATAACATCACACATAACACCACACATAACACCACACATAACACACAACATTACACCACACATAACACCACACATAACACCACACATTACACCACAAATAACATCACACATAACACCACACATAACACCACACATAACACCACACATAACACCACACATTACACCACACATTACCCCACACATGACACCACACATAACACCACACATTACACCACAAATAACATCACACATAACACCACACATAACACCACACATAACACCACACATAACACCACACAAAAACACGACACATAACACCACAAATAACATCACACATAACAACACAAATAACACCACACATAACACGACACATAACACCACACATAACACCACACATAACACCACAAATAACACCACACATAACACGACACATAACACCACACATAACACGACACATAACACCACAAATAACACCACACATAACACGACACATAACACGACACATAAACACCACAAATAACACCACACATACACACACACATAACACCACACATAACACCACACATAACACCACATAACACCACACATAACACCACACATGACACCACACATGACACCACACTTTACTACTCTCGCTACTACTAATCATTGCCACTTCTACTACTATTCCTACCACTACTACGACTACTGTTACCACCACGAATGCTTCTGCTATTTTTACGACTACTACGATATTACTGCTACCACTAGATCTTCTACTTCGACTTCCGCTACAACGATTACCACTGATGCTCACAATACCTCTAACACTGTATGACCCTGATGGGTTTAGCGCTTAGTTTTGATTATAATAATCCCAATACCTCTGCTATTGGGCACAGCTATGAGAGGCGTATATCGTTCAGTGTATATACACTGAGTTAACTTTAGTCAATATTTTGGAAATTAAAACATTCCTGATAACTTAGAAGAGGTGAATTGTAGACACAGGTATGTTAGGATTGTCGACAGTTTAGTTAGTCTGATATCTTAATTATGCACCCCAAACCCATCCTGTGGGTGGTAGTCAAAAGATTACAGAGGTACATAATGGGTCCAGGGACTGGGCCCCAAAGTTATGATAGCTGAACTAGTTACAAAGGTAATGAACTCCAGGTAGATCTGGTCACAGTCGTGGGAAATTACAAAGGTAATGAACTCCAGGTAGATCTGGTCACAATCATGGCAAGTTACAAAGGTAATGAACCAGTGGCTCAGAGTACACCTGTGGATTCCATCTTCAGATGCATGATAAGAAATAATAATAACAGTACATGCTATAACTTATACAGGTCTAGCAGACGTCAGTCACATACTATATAGAAACATAAAGCACCTTGTTAAGCAGAGCATTTCGGGCAAATTAGGCTAACTTTGTCCTCAGGATGCGACCCACACCAGTTGGCTAACACCCCGGTACCTACTTACTGCTAGGTGGGCAGGGACAGCAGGTGCTAGGAGACCAGTGACAGCAGGTGCTAGGTGAACAGAGAAAGGAGGAGCTAGGTGAGCAGGGGACAGCAGGTGCTAGGTGAGCAGGGACAGCAGGTGCTAGGTGAACAGGGACAGCAGGTGCTAGGAGACCAGGGACAGCAGGTGCTAGGTGAACAGAGAAAGGAGGAGCTAGGTGAGCAGGGACAGCAGGTGCTAGGTGAGCAGGGACAGCAGGTGCTAGGTGAAGAGGGACAGCAGGTGCTAGGAGACCAGGGACAGCAGGTGCTAGGTGAACAGGGACAGGAGGAGGTAGGTGAGCAGGGACAGCAGGTGCTAGGTGAGCAGGGACAGCAGGTGCTAGGTGAGCAGGGACAGCCGGTGCTAGGTGAGCAGGGACAGCAGGTGCTAGGTGAAGAGGGACAGCAGGTACTAGGTGAGCAGGGACAGCAGGCGCTAGGTGAACAGGGACAGCAGATGCTAGGTGAACAGGAACAGCAGATGCTAGGTGAGCAGGGACAGCAGGTGCTAGGTGAGCAGGTACAGCAAGTGCTAGGTGAGCAGGGACAGCAGATGCTAAATGAACAGGAACAGCAGGTGCTAGGTGAGCAGGGACAGCAGGTGCTAGGTGAACAGGGACAGCAGGTGCTAGGTGAGCATGGACAGCAGGTGCTACGTGAGCAGGCACAGCAGGTGCTAGGTGAACAGGGACAGTAGATGCTAGGTGAACAGGGACAGCAGGTGTTAGGTGAACAGGGACAGCAGGTACTAGGTGAGCAGGGACAGCAGGTGCTAGGTGAACAGGGACAGCAGGTGCTAGGTGAGCAGGGACAGCAGGTGCTAGGTGAACAGGGACAGCAGGTGCTAGTTGAGCAGGGACAGCAGGTGTTTGGTGAGCAGGGACAGCAGATGCTAGGTGAACAGGGACAGCAGGTGCTAGGCGAACAGGGACAGCAGGTGCTAGGTGAACAGGGACAGCAGGTACTAGGTGAGCAGGGACAGCAGATGCTAGGTGAACACGGACAGCAGGTGCTAGATGAGCAGGGACAGCAGATGCTAGGTGAACACAGACAGCAGGTGCTAGGTGAGCAGGAACAGCAGGTTCAATCCCCATACGGGGACCTCAGTGTGTGAGCTGAGTGCGCTACCAACCAAGCTACGGGCACCATAACAGAAGTTGACAGTCCCAGATTACAGTCTGGAACTGTCAACTTGTAGTTTGAGGACAATAACATTAAAAGCACTTGAACTGAGCTTGGTGGCCTTGAGAATAAAGGAGACACACCTGTCAGTCCATCTATCATTCCATCATGCAGGAGACACATGTCTATGGTGCTTCCAACAAAATCATTATCACCAGCTAATGTAGACTATTGTCACAACCTACGCCATTATGTGCTGGAATGTGATAAAATTAAGGAATTCAAAGAAATTTCAAATTATTCTATCTAAAGTGGCATATTAACAACCATTCTGGAAAAAATACCCCCCTCCCCCAACTGCCTATTGTAAATAACTCACAGCCACTTGAACTGGTTTAAATTCAATTATGCCTTGCTAAAAAAATAACGTTATATAAATCAAAATCACATTTAAGGTACACTGTGGAAAATTTTGATAATTTGTGTGTAAGAATTGATGGGGATAATAATGTTTTTCTGAAATTATGTAGTTATGTATCTTCATTGACTTTTAAAAGATGTTCTGTGACATGAGAATTAATATTCTTTATTATTTCTTTATTCTGTAAGGAGTTGAATAAGTAAAATGAAGATGTTGTAATTTAGAAGAAATTGATACTTCAATAATTAAAATGTAGTACACACTTGGAAGTGTAATTAAATTAATTGGAAAGATGTAGTGGTAGACAACGTCGGCGAGAGCAACAAAAATGGCGGAGTATCACGGATGGAGCGGGGATTTGTGGAGAATTAATTTATTTTAATCTAAGCCGATATAAACAGTATTGGCAAATATAGTGTCATGTATAATAAGTGAATTTAACGTGTATCTGGAAGGCTTCAGATAAAAAGTGAAACTCGCAAAATAAGAATTATAGGAATAAAAACTTGTTTCTGGAGACCCCACACTGGTGAGGGGCTCTTGATCTAGGGAATTAGATCTGTGCTCCACTTCCCTGAATGCCTCCCATCCCTCCCACATGCGTTGTATAATCCTACGGGAGCGCTGTATAACCCTTTGGTTTAGCGTTTCTTTTTTATAATCCTACGGGTTTAGCGCTCCCCATGATTATAATAACTGGAGACCCCATCCACAAGGGAGGTTCCTTGACGCTGGTGAGGGGCTCTTGATCTAGGGAATTAGATCTGTGTTCCACTTCCCTGAATTGAGCCTGAATATCTTCCATCCCCCCCCCCACAGCCGCTGTATAATACCTACGGGTTTAGCGCTCCCCATGTTTATAATAATGTTGCTGGAGAATCTACATTGCCTCCCAAGTGTGAATTAAATCTCGCAACAGGTAATGTATTTATTTATTGACCAATAGTTTACTGTCCTGTGAGGGAGTTGTTAGGATATGTCGAGACTATAGTTTGGTAAGATATATTTCCCTGTTTTGTAATTGACACTATGTAATTTATGTTTTAATTATTGGAAATTGTGTTACATAATAAGATACCAACAAATTTAAGTCCAATAATTAATCCTGAATTTATACAGTCCACAACCAAATTTAATACAGCCAATGTTACTGCCTTGAAGTATTTCCTTCATTAAATTCAAGAACTATATGTTCATATAATTTAAGTTCCAGATGTGAGAGTTTTGGAGGTGAGAAAGTGGTCATCGAAGGAACAGTATTGTGACCCACTGTTGGCAAAGTCCAACCTGTCTCCAAGGTACAACTATACCAGTAAGTATATTCTGTTTTAGATGTGCCAGAGTTCTCCTCAGTTATATAAGTCAAATGTTAATTCAGGATTGTACCTCTGAAATTCACCCACATAGTCTCATTAACGACAATTTTTTTTTTACTTAACCCATGTCTTCAAAAATTACTTATTACGACTGTAACCAGATATAAAAATGTAAATAGTTCATTACCACTTATTCGCTAAGCTATTAAAACGGGCTCAGTCCCTGGACCCATTATGTACCTCTGTAGTGTTTTGACTACCACCCAAAGAACGGGTATGGCTTCATTAATATTAAAAGTTTCTAAACTATTTTTTCCCCTCCTATTCTTTCTACCTCCCCTCCCGTCTCATCCCCCTCCCTTCCCCTCCCCTGGTGCCCTGTATTTGATAATGCGTATGTGGCATTTACAAGTACTTACGTCACAGGAAGCCAGGGATCTTGAACGCCGCAATATGAAGCTCTGCAGAGATCCTCGAGCTGGCGTAGTAGAAGGTGCCTATTGTTATCAGGGACGCAAAGTAACACTCCAGATGGTGCCCAGTGTTGTCGGGACCCCAAGGCGGCATTCCAGAAGGTGGGTAGTGCTGTTGTAGACTCCAGGTGCACTAGAAGGTGGGTAGTGCTGTTGTAGACCCCAGGTGACACTAGAAGGTGGGTAGTGCTGTTGTAGACCACAGGTGACACTAGAAGGTGGGTAGTGCTGTTGTAGACACCAGGTGACACTAGAAGGTGGGTAGTGCTGTTGTAGACCCCAGGTGACACTAGAAGGTGGGTAGTGCTGTTGTAGACACCAGGTGACACTAGAAGGTGGGTAGTGCTGTTGTAGACCCCAGGTGACACTAGAAGGTGGGTAGTGCTGTTGTAGACCCCAGGTGACACTAGAAGGTGGGTAGTGCTGTTGTAGACCCCAGGTGACACTAGAAGGTGGGTAGTGCTGTTGTAGACCCCAGGTGACACTAGAAGGTGGGTAGTGCTGTTGTAGACACCAGGTGACACTAGAAGGTGGGTAGTGCTGTTGTAGACTCCAGGTGACACTAGAAGGTGGGTAGTGCTGTTGTAGACCCCAGGTGACACTAGAAGGTGGGTAGTGCTGTTGTAGACCCCAGGTGACACTAGAAGGTGGGTAGTGCTGTTGTAGACACCAGGTGACACTAGAAGGTGGTTAGTGCTGTTGTAGACCCCAGGTGACACTAGAAGGTGGGTAGTGCTGTTGTAGACCCCAGGTGACACTAGAAGGTGAGTAGTGCTGTTGTAGACCCCAGGTGACACTAGAAGGTGAGTAGTGCTGTTGTAGACCCCAGGTGACACTAGAAGGTGGGTAGTGCTGTTGTAGACCCCAGGTGACACTAGAAGGTGGGTAGTGCTGTTGTAGACCCCAGGTGACACTAGAAGGTGAGTAGTGCTGTGTGTCCTAGATGGAGTTTTAGAAGGTGCCTAGTGTTGCGTAGCTATCAAAATTTTGGGGCCTAGTCCTTGGACTCATTATGTGTGCTTCTGTAATTTTTTGACTACCGACCACAGTAGTGACAGTGGATAACAGTGTCCGGCACCATTATGGGATCTTTCATTGAAAAAATTAAGTTCTCGAAGCACAGTTAAAGCGACGGGTTTAAGATATACTAAAAAATCTACTTTAGCTTCTTGCTGACACTTTCACCCCTCATAATGCTACAGAAAATATTTAAATGCAATGACTTGATAACAAGTATCTGTTATACGTGAAATTTTAAACTGTCTTCGATTAAAGAAATATTGTTTTAAAAGTGAGAAGTATTATAGGGATTTATAATTCTGCGATAAGCCTGTATTTATGTGACTTTTCCTTGTACAGTTATAAGTAATTTATTGACTACTGTCGATCCATCATTGATAAATCGATCATGGAATGTTACGGCTGTGGCTCATATTTATTAAACACTTTGTGAGAACAAGGCATCTCAGACACCCATGTCATGTTTATTGTCCCTGTAGTCTTAACAGTCTCAACTTCTTGATGGAGTTGTAGTAGGCTATTGCCGCCATCTTAGAGAAAAACTGATTTACCAAAAACAGAATGGAAACAAGAGAATATTCAAATTAAAATGTATTTGCACATGATACATTGTTTATACAGGAATGGGAGACACTTTAATGCATGCAGGAAGTCCATGGTTATGGAAAGTATCTCAGGCAACATTAAGGATGAGTCCCAGAGATTCTTCCCGTAACTTTTGTAGTTAAAGATCCGCTAGCTATAACAAAGTGCCGGCTTCCACGAACCGGATTATATTTACTAGGGATATGCTATGAAAAATGTATATACGAGCTTACCCTTCATGCGTGACCTGCTGAACCAGGAGGGAAGGAAGGTTAGGTTTGTCAGGAAACAGGACAGGTGTTTCCTGAAGCGCGTCTTAGTCATATGATGACCCGCAGCTGAGACTTTTGGTCATCTGACCGAGGCCTTCCGCTGGCTTACCAGTCCACCTCTTTCAAAGTTATGGTTATGATTATAGCCATTGTTTTTTTAATTGAACCAAGAGGGATCTATGAGGCTAAGTTCCTCTGAGGTGATTGAATGATGCTAGGTCCTCTTTGAGGGGACTGTTGAATGGACCAGGTGAGGATGGGTCCCTCTTTGGATGGACTAGGTGAGGATGGGTCCCTCCTTGAAAGGACTAGGTGAGGATGGGTCCCTCTTTGAATGGACTAGGTGAGGATGGGTCCCTCTTTGAATGGACTAGGTGAGGATGGGTCCCTCTTTGAATGGACCAGGTGAAGATGGGTCCCACTTTGAATGGACTAGGTGAGGATGGGTCCCTCCTTGAAGGGACTAGGTGAGGATGGGTCCCTCTTTGAAGGGACTAGGTGAGGATGGGTCCCTCTTTGGATGGACTAGGTGAGGATGAGTCCCTCTTTGGATAGACTAGGTGAGGATGAGTCCCTCTTTGGATAGACTAGGTGAGGATGAGTCCCTCTTGATGGACTAGGTGAGGATGGGTCCCTCCTTGAAAGGACTGGGTGAGGATGGGTCCCTCCTTGAAAGGACTGGGTGAGGATGGGTCCGTCCTTGAAAGGACTGGGTGAGGATGGGTCCGTCCTTGAAAGGACTGGGTGGGGATGGGTCCCTCCTTGAAAGGACTGGGTGAGGATGGGTCCCTCCTTGAAAGGACTGGGTGAGGATGGGTTCCTCTTTGGATGGACTAGTTAACGTATGGTCGCTCCTAGAAGGAGCTAGGTCCATTGTAGGTGAAGCAAAAGGTAACATGGACCCTACTAAGTGAGGAAGGCTATGTTCACGTCGCCTCATTCCGAACCACTAAGCTACAAATTATGGATAAAAGGTTTAGCGTGTGTCGTTTGGATACTTCTTGTGAAATCTTTATCTTCTGGAGATGTCTTGCCAAGTTTTGATCATCTGGAGACGTCTTGTAAAGTCTTGATTAAGTCTTTAGAAGGTGCAGTCGCTTGACGCTGTCACAGGATGTTTCAAGCTGTGTACTGCTCGTCCGGTGAGCAGGACTAAGCTTATCCGTTATATTAGAGGTCTCTAGCTTTGGGGACTAAAGGTGGTAAACTTATTGTCTAGAATGTATTTCATGGCATCAAGCTTTAATATTGAAGGTGGTAAGCTTACCTTCTAGTATCTATACCATGAAGGTGGTAGGTGGTGAGCTTATCTTCTAATATCTGTACCATAATATAAAGCTTTAATGTTGAAGGTGGTAAGCGTACCTTTTAGTATTTATACCGTGGTATAAAGCTTTAATGCTGAAGGTGGTAAGCTTACATTCTAGTATCTATGTCATGGTATAAAGCTTTTAATACTGAAGATAGAAGCTTATCTTTCAGGATCTATACCATACTATAAAGCTTTTATACTATAGGTGGTAAGCTTAGCTTCTAGAATGAATAACATGGCTTTAAGCTATTTATACTAAGGGTAGTAAGCTTCTCGTCTAGGACTGTATACCGTGGCTTCAGTCTTGTATACTGAAGATGGCAAAAATGTTAATGTGCGGCCTATGGCATTTTATCAACAATTATTATTATTATTATTATTATTATTATTATTATTATTATTATTATTATTATTATTATTATTAAAACTAAAGACAAAACATATAAGGGTCATACAGCACTGTTGTTTCGCCTGCGCAGTAGACTTCTTCAGTATGAATTAGATAATGCATTAACCAAAGGTCGATCAACTGCTCCTGGAGAGGATGGTATAACCTATGATATTCTCAGAACTCTAAGGCACGTGCCTGATAACCCTTTGTTGGCACTGTATAATCTCAGTTACATTGAGGGCGTTCTTCCTACTTCCTGGACCAATAGTCTCGTGCCTATCCCTAAGCCCCAACAGCCTGATACATTTAGGCCGATCTCGTTAACTAGTTGTCTTTGCAAAACTTTTGAAAGAATGATGCTTAACAGATTGTACTACAGAATCAGACATCAACTTTCCCCCTACCTCTATGGGTTCATGAAAAGTAAAAGTGTGCAGAACTGTATTTCCACCTTTCTCACTGCACACACCTCTACTAGTTTTACCACTTTTCTTGATCTAAAATCTGCATTTGATATTGCAAACAGAACCGTTATACTACATGAACTAGCCAAAATGAATATTGGTGGTAGCTTACTCTGCTGGATAATAGGATACCTGTCAAATAGAGTATCCTCTGTCCTTTACCAAGGCTTCAGAAGTGATTCTAAAGAAATGTCTTTAGGTACACCGCAGGGAGGAGTTCTTAGTCCCATGCTATTTAATATTCTGATTAATGCTCTCCTAAATGCTCTACCTGCCTCACCTAAACATATAGCTGTAAGCTATGCTGATGATATCATGATCCATACAACAGGGCATAAGAAGATGAATACCATTCTTAATGAAGTTCAAGCAATTTGTAATCGACTAGGCCTCATAATATCTTCCTCTAAAACAAAGATATTAACAAGCAAACGACATCCCCCACCCATCTATTTGCAGGGTGAAATCATTAGCTACGTTAAAACTTACAGATATCTTGGTGTAGATGTACCCTTTAACAAATCCACTATACCACAACTAAACAAGAAATGTAAAGCTAGGCTAAATGCTCTCAAAGCTGTTGCTGGCTACAATCCCAACTATGGTGCTAATGTGAGAATCGTGAAAATGATGTACATAGCCTATGTTAGGTCCTTAATTGATTATGCTGCTCCCATGTTGATATTAGCTAGAGAAAGTTCCCTCCGACCCTTGGAGTTAATGCAAAATGAAGCTCTCAGGACTATTCTTGGCTGTCCCAGATCTACAAAAGTTCTTAACATGAGGAAGGAGCTTGGTATTTCTAGTATCAGTGATAGGATTGTTGAAATTAACACTGTACTCGGTATTAGAATGTTGAGAAACGAACCAGACACTGTCACAGTGAATCTTACCAAGTGTCTAGAGGTAAATACACACAGATCTAAATGGATTGTGAAAACGTGCAATTGCATTAAGTTTTATAACCTGCATGAACTGTATCACTGTAGGCAACAAGAGCATTTCACCCCTCCATGGAAGATGTGTTCATTTAATATCACATACCTACAAGTCCCTCCCAAGAAGCTCATTGCTAGTAATCCCTTCCTTAAATCTCTTGTTAGAGCAACTGCTCAAGAAGAAATTTTTCGCCTAGCTGGTAGTAATAAGTTATCACAAGTTATATACACTGATGGATCTAAACAGGAGTCTTCTGGCAGGGCTGCATCTGCTCTTGTTGCCACCTCCCTAGTTAAGAACGATAATAAATTTGTTGAGTTAGGCTTAAGAATTAACAACTGGGCGTCTACACTGCAAACTGAATTGTTTGCAATCCTAATGGCGCTAAAGCTAACCTATGACACTGAGCTTGACTCTATCATCATTACTGATTCTATGTCATCATTGAAGGCTCTTGGCTCATATAATGACTCCAACAACATGCTCATTGGGGAAGCCAGGTATAGATACTCAAAAATTAGGGACAAAGGAATTAATGTACAATTGCTATGGATCCCATCACACATTGGATTACTCCTTCATGATAAAGTTGATATGTTAGCCAAGAAGAGTATCCAGAAGGAGAACGTAGAATATAACTTTGGTATAACTGTGTCTAGCATTAGGAATAATATTAGGAGAGAAGTAAATAATGAAGATGATTGTTATAGGAATGCAGTTAGAAGCCTGAGTAGATCTATAACCCACTATGATAACATGAACGTAGATAAGTATGTTTATGGAGCAACTTGCAATGTGAACAGACTGACTGATGTTGTAGTGGCCAGGCTTAGGCTTGGTTACAAGTACTTCTGGCAGTTTGGGAGACACACAGATGATGATCAAACTAAATGTAAATTATGTGATCAGGCATATGGTCACTCTCTTGAACACTATGTGCTTAATTGTCCACTTATTGAGGAATACAGAGACAGACAGTATAATAACCTATGTGACATGTCAAGATATCTTATTAATGAAAATAAGATACCAGATATACTAAGCAAATTTCCTAAATTTGCTTGTAACAGATAAGTGAACTATAGATATGTAGATATAAATCCATATGTATTCCTGTTAACCCTTTGGGGCCTAGTTCCTAGGCCTTTTGTGTATCCACATGCTCTCGCGCTACTGTCCACAGGATGGATATGGGGTGCACAATAAACTAGCCACTTCGGTGGCAAAATCTATCTAATCTCTTCAGTCGTATACAGGAAGCAGTAAAATTGTGGTAGGTGTTGTAATACTTTTGACGCTACCGGTCGCTGTGTGTTAACAACATTGTGTGTGTTGTGAGTGTGCTAACAACATCGTATGCGTTGTGAGTGTGCTAACAACATCGTATGTGTTGTGAGTGTGCTAACAACATCGTTTGTGTTGTGAGTGTGCTAACAACATCGTTTGTGTTGTGAGTGTGCTAACAACATCGTTTGTGTTGTGAGTGTGCTAACAACATCGTTTGTGTTGTGAGTGCTAACAACATCGTTTGTGTTGTGAGTGTGCTAACAACATCGTTTGTGTTGTGAGTGAGTGGTGTGTGTGTGTGTGTGTGTGTGTGTGTGTGTGTGTGTGTGTGTGTGTGTGTGTGTGTGTGTGTGTGTGTGTGTGTGTGTGTGTGTGTGTGTTAGTGCTTTAACAAGAAGTGTGTGTGTTGTGAGCGTGTGTTAACAACATCAGGTATGTGTATTGTGAGTGTGTGTATTAATAACAAGTATGTGTGTTGTGAGTGTGTGATAACAAGTGTGTTGTGAGTGTGTTAACAAGTGTGCTGTGTGTGCTAACAACATCAGGTATGTATATTGTGTGTGTATTAATAACAAGTATGTGTGTTGTGAGTGTGTTAACAAGTGTGTTGTGAGTGTGTTAACAACAAGTGTGTTGTGAATGTGTTAACAACAAGTGTGTTGTGAGTGTGTGTATTAAAAACAAGTATGTGTGTTGTGAGTGTGTTAACAACAAGAGTGTTGTGAGTGTGTTAACAAGAGTGTTGTGAGTGTGTGTTAACAACAAGAGTGTTGTGAGTGTGCGTTAACAAGTGTTGTGAGTGTGTTAACAACAAGTGTTGTGAGTGTTAACAACAAGTGTGTTGTGAGTGTGTTAACAACAAGAGTGTTGTGAATGTGTTAACAACAAGAGTGTTGTGAGTGTGTGTTAACAACAAGAGTGTTGTGAGTGTGTTAACAACAAGAGTGTTGTGAGTGTGTGTTAACAACAAGAGTGTTGTGAGTGTGCGTTAACAAGTGTTGTGAGTGTGTGTTAACAACAAGTGTGTTGTGAGTGTGTTAACAAGTGTGTTGTGAGTGTGTGTTAACAACAAGAGTGTTGTGAGTGCGTTAACAACAAGTGTTGTGAGTGTGTGTTAACAAGTGTGTTGTGAGTGTTAACAACAAGTGTGTTGTGAGTGTGTTAACAACATCAGGTATGTGTGTTGTGAGTGTGTGTATTAATAACAAGTATGTATGTATGTTATGAGTGTGTTAAGAACAAGTGTGTTGTGAGTGTGTGTTAACAACAAGTGTTGTGAGTGTGTTAACAACAAGTGTGTTGTGAGTGTATTAACAGCAAGTGTGTTGTGAGTGAGTGTTGACAACAAGTGAGTTGTGAGTTTGTGTTAACAAGTGCGTTGTGTGTGTTAACAACAAGTGTGTTGTGAGTGTGTTAACAACAAGTGTGTTGTGAGTGTGTGTTAACAACAAGTGTGTTGTGAGTGTGTGTTAACGAGTGTGTTGTGAGTGTGTGTTAACAAGAGTGTTGTGAGTATGTGTTAACGAGTTTGTTGTGAGTGTGTGTTAACGAGTGTGTTGTGAGTGTGTGTTAACAAGTGTGTTGTGAGTTTGTGTTAACAAGTGTGTTGTGAGTGTGTGTTAACGAGTGTGTTGTGAGTGTGTTGACGAATGTGTTGTGAGTGTGTTAACGAGTGTGTTGTGAGTGTGTGTTAACGAGTGTGTTGTGAGTGTGTGTTAACGAGTGTGTTGTGAGTGTGTTAACGAGTGTGTTGTGAGTGTGTGTTAACTAGTGTGTTGTGAGTGTGTTAACGAGTGTGTTGTGAGTGTGCGTTAACAAGTGTGTTGTGTGTGTTAACGAGTGTGTTTTGAGTGTGTTAACAAGTGTGTTGTGAGTGTGTGTTAACAAGTGTGTTGTGAGTGTGTGTTAACGAGTGTGTTGTGAGTATGTGTTAACGAGTGTGTTGTGAGGGTGTGTTAACAAGTGTGTTGTGAGTGTGTGTTAACAAGTGTTTTGTGAGTGTGTGTTAACGAGTGTGTTGTGAGTATGTGTTAACGAGTGTGTTGTGAGGGTGTGTTAACAAGTGTGTTGTGAGTGTGTGTTAACAAGTGTGTTGTGAGTGTGTGTTAACGAGTGTGTTGTGAGTATGTGTTAACGAGTGTGTTGTGAGGGTGTGTTAACAAGTGTGTTGTGAGTGTGTTAAGTGTTTTGTGAGTGTGTGTTAACAACAAGTGTGTTGTGAGTATGTGTTAACAACAAGTGTGTTGTGAGTGTGTGTGTTAGCAACAAGTGTGTTGTGAGTGTGTGTTGTGAGTGTGTTAACATTGCAAGAGGAAAAATTCACATTACACAGAAACAGAAATAGGAAAAAGGAGCCTAACATACAGTGATTATTAAGTCTTTCTTTACCACAGGTAACAAACGAGGAAGTACAGAGGTGTCCACCATGGTCCACCTGTCCAGGGTCGTCACTGTCCTGGGTGAGTACAATGGTCCTGAGGGCCCTGGGGTGAATATGGCCATTTTTATATACTAATGCAATTTACAGGTTTTAGTCACTGGCGTTGACCCCAAACATATTAGTACGTGGTGTTGACCTTACACGTGTTAGTACAAGGTCTTGACCCCAAAATGTTAATGGTCTTGACCTCACAAGTGTTAAAGGTCTTGATCCCAAAATGTTAGTGGTCTTGACCTCACATGTGTTAGTACAAGGTCTTGACCCCAAACATGGTAGTGGTCTTGACCCCAAACATGGTAGTGGTCTTGACCTCACACATGTTAGTACAAGGTCTTGACTTCACATACGTTAGTGGTCTTGACCTCAGACATGTTAGTACAAGGTCTTGACTTCACACATGTTAGTGGTCTTGACCTCAGACATGTTAGTGGCCTTAACCCCAAACACGTTAGTACGTGGTCATGGCCTAACACGTGTTAGTAGTCTTGACCTTAAACATGTTAGTGCAAGGTCTTGACCTCACATTTGTTAGTGGTCTTGACCTCACATGTTAATGGTCTTGACCTCACATGTTAATGGTCTTGATCTCACACATGTTAGTGGTCTTGGCCTCACACACGCTAGTCGTCTTGACTTCGCGCATGTAAGAGGTCTTGACCACAAAAATGTTAGTACAAGGTCTTGACCTCACACATGTTAATGGCTTTGACCTCACACATGTTAGTACAAGGTCTTGACCTCACACATGTTAGTGGTCTTGACCTTACACATGTTAGTGGTCTTGACTTCACACATGTTAGTGGTCTTGACCTCACACGTTAGTACAAGGTCTTGACCTCACACATGTTAGTGGTTTTGACCTTACACATGTTAGTGGTCTTGACCTCACACATGTTAGTGGTCTTGACTTCACACATGTTAGTGGTCTTGACCCCACACATGTTAGTGGTCTTGACCTCACACGTTAGTACAAGGTCTTGACCTCACACATGTTAGTTGTCTTGACCTCACACAGTGGTCTTAACCTCACACATGTTAGTGGTCTTGACCTCACACATATTAGTGGCCTTGACCTCACACATGTTAGTGGTCTTGACCTCATACATGTTAGTGGTCTTGAACTCACACATGTTAGTGGTCTTGACCTCACACATGTTGGTAGTCTTGACTTCACACATGGTAGTGGTCTTGACCTCACATGTTAGTGGTCTTGAACTCACACATGTTAGTGGTCTTGACCTCACACATGTTGGTAGTCTTGACTTCACACATGGTAGTGGTCTTGACCTCACATGTTAGTGGTCTTGAACTCACACATGTTAGTGGTCTTGACCTCACACATGTTGGTAGTCTTGACTTCACACATGGTAGTGGTCTTGACCTCACATGTTAGTAGTCTTGACTTCACACATGTTAGTGGTCTTGACCTCACACATGTTAGTGGTCTTAACCTCACATGTTAGTGGTCTTAACCTGACACACATGTTAGTGGTCTTAACCTCACACATGTTAGTGGTCTTGACCTCACACATGTTAGTGATCTTGACCTCACACATGTTAGTGGTCTTAACCTCACACATGTTAGTGGTCTTGACCTCACACATGTTAGTGGTCTTGACCTCACACATGTTAGCGGTCTTGACCTCACACATGTTAGTGGTTTGAACTCACACATGTTAGTGGTCTTGACCTCACACATGTTAGTGGTCTTGACCTCACACATGTTAGTGGTCTTGACCTCACACATGTTAGTGATCTTGACCTCACACATGTTAGTGATCTTGACCTCACACATGTTAGTGGTCTTAACCTCACACATGTTAGTGGTCTTGACCTCACACATGTTAGTGGTCTTGACCTCACATGTTAGTGGTCTTGACATCACACATGTTAGTGGCCTTGACCTCACATGTTAGTGATCTTGACCTCACACATGTTAGTGGTCTTGACCTCACACATGTTAGTGGTCTTGACATCACACATAGTAGTGGTCTTGACCTCACACATGTTAGTAGTCTTGACTTCACACATGTTAGTGGTCTTGACCTCACACATGTTAGTGGTCTTGACCTCACACATGTTAGTGGTCTTGACTTCACACATGTTAGTGGTCTTAACCTCACACATGTTAGTGGTCCTAACCTCACACATGTTAGTGGTCTTGACTTCACACATATTAGTGGTCTTAACCTCACGCATGTTAGTGGTCCTAACCTCACACATGTTAGTGGTCTTGACCTCACACATGTTAGTGGTCCTAACCTCACACATGTTAGTGGTCTTGACTTCACACATGTTAGTGATCTTGACCTCACACATGTTAGTGGTCCTAACCTCACACATGTTAGTGGTCTTGACCTCACACATGTTAGTGGTCTTGACCTCACACATGTTAGTTGTCTTAACCTCACACATGTTAGTGGTCTTTACTTCACACATGTTAGTGGTCTTAACCTCACACATGTTAGTGGTCTTAACCTCACACATGTTAGTGGTCTTAACCTCACACATGTTTGTGGTCTTAACCTCACACATGTTAGTGGTCTTAACCTCACACATGTTAGTGGTCTTGACTTCACACATGTTAGTGGTCTTAACCTCACACATGTTAGTGGTCTTAGCCTCACACATGTTAGTGGTCTTAACGTCACACATGTTAGTGGTCTTAACCTCACACATGTTAGTGGTCTTAACCTCACACATGTTAGTGTTCTTGACTTCACACATGTTAGTGGTCTTGACCTCACACATGTTAGTGGTCTTGACTTCACACATGTTAGATGTCTTGACCTCACACATGTTAGTGGTCTTGACCTCACACATGTTAATGGTCTTAACCTCACATGTTAGTGGTCCTAACCTCATACATGTTAGTGGTCTTAACCTCACATGTTAGTGGTCCTAACCTCATACATGTTAGTGGTCTTGACTTCACACATGTTAATGGTCTTAACTCCACTAATATTTGTCAGTTGCGTCAACTGTATCATGACTGTGTCCTGAATATCTCTGGTGTCAACAGCGACGGTGGTGGTTGTGGTGGTGTCAGGGAAGTGCCTCACCTTCAAGGACCTCCAGTTGTCCCAGGTCAACCCGTATAGGTAAGTAATTCAAATGTATTTATTATGTCTTCCTAATTACTTGTATATACTGTTGTTTTGTGGTTCTCATATACTGTTATTTACTGATTGTTGGTGCTGTCTGTTGCTTCTTTACTGTTGGTTATGCTGTCTGTTGTTTTTTTACTGGTGGTGGTGCTGTCGGTTGCTTCTTTACTGTTGGTGATGCTGTCTGTTGTTTTTTTTACTGGTGGTGGTGCTGTCGGTTGCTTCTTTACTGTTGGTTATGCTGTCTGTTGTTTTTTTACTGGTGGTGGTGCTGTCGGTTGCTTCTTTACTGTTGGTGATGCTGTCTGTTGTTTTTTACTGGTGGTGGTGCTGCGGTTGCTTCTTTACTGTTGGTGATGCTGTCTGTTTATTTTTTTTACTGCTGGTGATGCTGTCTGTTGATTTGTTCTTCACTGATGGTGGTACTGTCTGTTGATTGGTTCTTCACTGCTGCTGGTGCTGTCTGTTGATTGGTTCTTCACTGATGGTGGTGCTGTCTGTTGATTGGTTCTTCACTGATGGTGGTGCTGTCTGTTGATTGGTTCTTCACTGATGGTGGTGCTGTCTGTTGATTGGTTCTTCACTGCTGCTGGTGCTGTCTGTTGATTGGTTCTTCACTGATGGTGGTGCTGTCTGTTGATTGGTTCTTCACTGATGGTGGTGCTGTCTGTTGATTGGTTCTTCACTGATGGTGGTGCTCTCTGTTGATTGGTTATTCACTGCTGCTGGTGCTGTCTGTTGATTGGTTCTTCACTGATAGTGGTGCTGTCTGTTGATTGGTTCTTCACTGCTGCTGGTGCTGTCTGTTGATTGGTTCTTCACTGATGGTGGTGCTCTCTGTTGATTGGTTATTCACTGCTGCTGGTGCTGTCTGTTGATTGGTTCTTCACTGATAGTGGTGCTGTCTGTTGATTGGTTCTTCACTGATAGTGGCGCTGTCTGTTGATTGGTTCGTCACTGCTGGTGGTGCTCTCTGTTGATTGGTTCGTCACTGCTGGTGGTGCTGTCTGTTGATTGGTTCGTCACTGCTGGTGGTGCTGTCTGTTGATTGGTTCGTCACTGCTGGTGGTGTTGTCTGTTGATTGGTTCGTCACTGCTGGTGGTGTTGTCTGTTGATTTGTTCGTCACTGCTGGTGGTGCTGTCTGTTGATTGGTTCTTCCTGCTGCTGGGACTATCTGTTGATTGGTTCTTCACTGCTGTTGGTGCTGTGTGTTTATTGGTTCTTCACTGTTGGTGGTGCTGTCTGTTGATTGGTTCGTCACTGTTGGTGGTGTTGTCTGTTGATTGGTTCTTCACTGCTGGTGGTGCTGCCTGTTGATTGGTTCGTCACTGTTGGTGGTGCTGCCTGTTGATTGGTTCGTCACTGTTGGTGGTGCTGCCTGTTGATTGGTTCGTCACTGTTGGTGGTGCTGCCTGTTGATTGGTTCGTCACTGTTGGTGGTGCTGCCTGTTGATTGGTTCGTCACTGCTGCTGGTGCTGTCTGTTGATTGGTTCGTCACTGTTGGTGGTGCTGCCTGTTGATTGGTTCGTCACTGCTGCTGGTGCTGTCTGTTGATTGGTTCGTCACTGCTGCTGGTGCTGCCTGTTGATTGGTTCGTCACTGTTGGTGGTGCTGCCTGTTGATTGGTTCGTCACTGTTGGTGGTGCTGCCTGTTGATTGGTTCGTCACTGCTAGAGGGACTAGTACCGAACTTGCACACGAAAATCACTCACAACGAAAACAAAAACTCAGCAGACGATGCAACATCCTCCCAATGAAAAGCAGTGGTGTCACTAGCACGTTAAGAGACCATACAATAAGTGACAGGGGCCCGAGACTGTTCAACTGCCTCCCAGCATACATAAGGGGGATTACCAATAGACCCCTGGCTGTCTTCAAGCTGGCACTGGACAAGCACCTAAAGTCGGTACCTGACCAGCCGGGCTGTGGCTCGTACGTCGGATTGCGTGCAGCCAGCAGTAGCAGCCTGGTTGATCAGGCTCTGATCCACCATGAAGCCTGGTCACAGACCGGGTCGCGGGGGCGTTGATCCTCGGAACTCTCTCCAGGTAAACTCCAGGTGTTGTCTGTTGATTGGTTCGTCACTGATGGTAGTACAGTCTCTTGATTGGTTCCTCATTGCTGCTGCTGCTGCTGTCTGTTGATTGGTTCTTCACTGCTACTGGTGCTGTCTGTTGATTGGTTCGTCACTTTTGATGGTGTTGTCTGTTGATTGGTTCTTCAATGATGGTGGTACTGTCTGTTGATTGGTTCGTCACTGCTGGTGGTGCTGTCTGTTGATTGGTTCTTCAATGATGGTGGTGCTGTCTGTTGATTGGTTCGTCACTGCTGGTGGTGCTGTCTGTTGATTGGTTCTTCAATGATGGTGGTGCTGTCTGTTGATTGGTTCGTCACTGCTGCTGGTGCTGTCTGTTGATTGTCACTGTTGGTGGTATTGTCTGTTGATTGGTTCTTCACTGCTGGTGGTGCTGTATGTTGATTGGTTCTTCACTGATGGTAGTACAGTCTCTTGATTGGTTCTTCATTGCTGCTGCTGCTGCTGTCTGTTGATTGGTTCGTCACTGCTACTGGTGCCGTCTGTTGATTGGTTCGTCACTTTTGGTGGTGTTATCTGTTGATTGGTTCTTCACTGCTACTGGTGCTATCTGTTGATTGGTTCTTCACTGCTGGTGGTGCTATCTGTTGATTGGTTCGTCACTGCAGGTGGTGCTGTCTGTTGATTGATTCTTCAATGATGGTGGTGCTGTCTGTTGATTGGTTCGTCACTGCAGGTGGTGCTGTCTGTTGATTGATTCTTCAATGATGGTGGTGCTGTCTGTTGATTGGTTCGTCACTGCTGCTGGTGCTGTCTGTTGATTGTCACTGTTGGTGGTATTGTCTGTTGATTGGTTCTTCACTGCTGGTGGTACTGTCTGTCGATTGGTTTTTCATTGCTGGTGGTGCTGTCTGTTGATTGGTTCTTCACTGATGGTGGTGCTGTCTGTCGATTGGTTCTTCAAAGGCTGATGGTGCTGTCTATTGGTTGGTTCTTCACTGCTGTTGGTGCTGTCTGTTGGACTTCAATTTAACATGGTTAGTATACATATTTAAAGCAGGTATCTGTCAGCATTATATACATATCAACATATATATCACTAACATGTTATATACACGTTAAATTACAAGCACATCTACAGCCGTATGTTAAATATTACTCTGTTATTGCAGGTGTGAGAGAGAGTGTTTGATGATGCCACTTGGTACTGGTACCCCTCCAGTGTATGGTACTGAGCTATATCATGAGGTGAGTTTATTGTTCTGTAAGTGTACCGTAGTGTGTGTGTACTGTGATGTGGGTGTATTGCATGTGAGTGTATTGTAGTGTGGGTATACCTTGATTTAGATTTATTATGATGTGGATGTACTATGATATAAATGTGCTAGGAAGTGAGTGTACCGTGACGTGGTTGTATCATGATGTGAGTGCACTGTAGTGAGTGTACCATGATCTGAAAGTATTGGAGTGTAAGTGCACTGTAAAGTAAATTTCTGTGAAGAATGGTTTACAGTCGGTGCAGTAAATGCGACATTATTGACATACTTTATAGAAAACCCCTAGTTATACAGAGCTTCAAGAATGGAAGATATACGACACTTCCCCAGCGGGTAGCCAATGCCGGGGTAACCTACTGGACGCATTATGTTGTACCTCTCCAATCTTTTGGCTACCACCCACATAATAATAATAATAATAATAAATTTATTTATTTCTACAAGAACATGTACAAGGTATACAGACCGTAGCTGACAGCAATGATATACTACTATATAGAAAGCAACTTGTTATGCAGAGCATTTCGGGCAAATTAGGTCAGTTTTGTCCCAGGATGCGACCCCTACCAGTCAACTAACACCCAGGTACCCATTTTACTAATGAGCGAACAGGGACAACAGATATAAGGAAACACTCTCAATGTTTCTACCCTTGCCGGTATCAATCGCATCTGCTAGAAAAATGACAGGATGGATAATGAGAACCTTCAAAACTAGGGAGGCCAAGCCCATGATGACACTCTTCAGGTCACTTGTTCTATCTAGGCTGGAATATTGCTCCACACTAACAGCACCTTTCAAGGCAGGTGAAATTGCTGACCTAGAAAATGTACAGAGAACATTCACGGCGCGCATAACGGAGATAAAACACCTCAATTACTGGGAGCGCTTGAGGTTCCTGAACCTGTATTCCGTGGAACGCAGGCGGGAGAGATACATGATTATATACACTTGGAAAATCCTAGAGGGACTAGTACCGAACTTGCACACGAAAATCACTCACTACGAAAGCAAAAGACTTGGCAGACGATGCAACATCCTCCCAATGAAAAGCAGGGGTGTCACTAGCACGTTAAGAGACCATACAATAAGTGACAGGGGCCCGAGACTGTTCAACTGCCTCCCAGCATACATAAGGGGGATTACCAACAGACCCCTGGCAATCTTCAAGCTGGCACTGGACAAGCACCTAAAGTCGGTTCCTGAGCAGCCGGGCTGTGGCTCGTACGTTGGTTTGCGTGCAGCCAGCAGCAACAGCCTGGTTGATTAGGCTCTGGTCCACCAGGAGGCCTGGTCACAGACCGGGCCGCGGGGGCGTTGACCCCCAGAACTCTCTCCAGGTAAACTCCAGGTAATCGAACCCGGAGCCTCTGAGTGTGAAGCGAGAGCTTTGCCTACCAGGCCACGAGCCATACCCCATGGGTAAGGGGTGTATAATAAAGCTGAACCTCTCAATTATTATTATTATAATCAAGGGGGAAGCGCTAAACCCGGAGGATTATACAGCGCCTGGGGGGGGATGTGGAAGGCATTCAGGCTTAATTCGGGGAACTGGAGCACAGATCCAATTCCCTAAATCAAGAGCCCCTCACCAACATCATGAACCTCTCAAGAACAAAACCGGGGCCATGACAACACCCGCTAATCATAACCATTATCATCATTTCAGACAGTCTTAAATTAACTTACATCTAATTATAACACGTAACTACCAGTGGAATTTTTGTGAGAAGAGTTTATTAGACGTTTGAGTTACACATCGGCTTTTAACCTTTGTGATAGTTGTTACTGTTATTCGAATGTAAATATGGATACTAATGTAAATTTTAGTATTATAGCCCAGGATAACACAAGAGATTACACTCTTTACTAACATCACTCAGTATACTCAGCCCTGCCAGTTTACTAACATCACTCAGTATACTCAGCCCTGCCAGTTTACTAACATCACTCAGTATACTCAGCCCTGCCAGTTTACTAACATCACTCAGTATACTCGGTCCTGCCAGTTTACTAACATCACTCAGTATACTCAGTCCTGCCAGTTTACTAACATCACTCAGTATACTCAGTCCTGCCAGTTTACTATCATCACTCAGTATACTCGGTCCTGCCAGTTTACTAACATCACTCAGTATACTCGGTCCTGCCAGTTTACTAACATCACTCAGTATACTCGGTCCTGCCAGTTTACTAACATCACTCAGTATACTCGGTCCTGCCAGTTTACTAACATCACTCAGTATACTCGGTCCTGCCAGTTTACTATCATCACTCAGTATACTCGGTCCTGCCAGTTTACTAACATCACTCAGTATACTCGGTCCTGCCAGTTTACTATCATCACTCAGTATACTCAGTCCTGCCAGTTTACTAACATCACTCAGTATACTCAGTCCAGCCAGTTTACTAACATCACTCAGTATACTCGATCCTGCCAGTTTACTATCATCACTCAGTATACTCGGTCCTGCCAGTTTACTAACATCACTCAGTATACTCAGTCGTGCCAGTTTACTAACATCACTCAGTATACTCAGTCGTGCCAGTTTACTAACATCACTCAGTATACTCAGTCGTGCCAGTTTACTAACATCACTCAGTATACTCAGTCTTGCAAGTTTACACACCAGATGAAAGCACAAACTATGTAATTATAAAATACTAGACTAATTAATGGTCCAAGTCTGACCGAAACGTCATAATTTTCAGTTTCTTATGTGCGGGTTATTTGTATATTATTCCAGTCACGCTATTGTGCTTTTTTTATTCTTCGTTTATACATGGCATGAGAACAATGAATATCCACAAGGCCTCTTTATAGACCTTATGAAAGCTTTTGATACACTAGATTATCACATCCTGCACCATAAACTTAAATATTATGGTATCAGAGGTCATGTAATTGCATAAAGTCCTACCTTGACAACAGACACCAACCAATGCGACCTATCGAGATAGAGGTGCCCCAAGGCGGTATTCTTGGCCCTCTGCTTTTCCTCATATACAGCAATGATTTTCCAAATGCATCTTACTAATTTAAACCTGTTGTGTTTGCTGCCGACACAACTTTTGTCATCTCCCACTCAAATCCGAATTTCCTCAATAACACTGTTAATTATAAGCTCATAGACTAGGATGACAACTAATAAACTCTCTCTTAACATTGACCACACTTTCTACATGATGTTTGGAAACAGAGCTGCTGAGGTCCAACTAAATATTATAATTAATGGTTCTCCCATTGTAAGACAATATGAAGGAAAATTCTTAGTCGACTAGATTCTTCATGAAATTCAACACCCACATTCAGCACAGCAAAAACAGTACTAAACTAATCTGACATCCTCTCGAAGGTACGTTATTATGTACCTCAAACAACATCACTTGCATTATACTGCTCTCTGATCTATCCCTAACTCATCTATGCTTTTTATTCCTGGGAATCCAGGCCTCACGGTGGATCAGGGCCTGGTCAACCCGACTATTACTGCTGGCCACATATAAACCGAAGTACAAAACACAGCCCGGCTGGTCAGGTACTGACATTAGTGTCTGTCCAGCTCCCTCTTGAAGACAGCCATGGGTCTATTGGTTATCCCTCTTATGTATGCTGAGAGGCAATTGAACTGTCTTAGGCCTCTGACAAGGGGATTATTTTCCAGTAAAATAGAAATAAAGATTATTATTATTATTATTATTATTATTATTATTATTATTAAAGTAGGTGTTAAACAGGGATTTGTGATATCACTAAGGTTATTTAACAAATAAAATATCTTAAAACACAGGTGTTAAAACTAGACATACTGACATTTTTGAATGAAGCATTGTAGTGAAACATTTAATTTGTCTAACTATTAAATGTATGTGACAGCAAAATCCAAAAATTTTGATGCCCGGTTAATCAAGAATTTTTATTTATTTTTTAAATTTATTGTAATTAGTGTAACATGATGTAATTTTAGTGTTGTCCAAAATTTGGTTGTTTTTCTTAGAGTGTGGATAGTTTGTTGGCATTAATGGTAATGTTTGCAAATAGTAGGGTAGAAAAATATTTTTTATAGCTAATCACATAAAAATAATGGGTTCCGTATTTTTATTATTATGTTACTGAATGGGCTGGCCTACGGGTAGGACTAGCATCTTCAACAGTTTGTATCACCTGTCTGTCTTCTTCTAGAGTTCTGAGATATGCCTGTCAGCGCTTCATATGGGTGCTGTCCCTGTCACTGGAGGAACCTTCCAGATTACCAAACAACAACAACAACGAACAAGTAATGTTATCGGCTCCGTCTTAAACAGGATTTACTCAACGAACAAGTAAGTTACAGATGTTCCCGTGTAATTTAGTAGAGGAAAGTAGAAGACTGACTGTGATGAGATGTCAGGTAAGATAAGATTCTGCTCGGATATTTAACCCCGGAGATAACCTAAGAAATTTAGCGCATCATTGTGGGACTGTTTGCCTTATTTTCCATTGGGTCCTTCAGTCTTGTCACTGTAGGATGTGACCCACTCTAATCGACTAACACCCATGCCTGCTTGCTTGCTAGGTGAAGGGAACAGCAGGTGTAAGGTAACTTTCCAGTTTTTCCCACCGGCGGGTATGAACCACGGACCCTCAGGTGTGTGAGGTGAGAGCGTTGCCTACCAGGCCACGGGACACTGATGAGAGTAGGTGGTAGGTTGAGAGAATATTTGCCAGGCAGAGAGGAACAATTAATTACATTGTCTGACTAGAAAGTGACAGGTAAAGACAGGATAGTCTTTAGTGAGGATGGATTAAATAAGCGAGTTTTCATATGGGAAGGGATAGGTAGAAGGACAGTACATGGCTAGATACAAACAATAAGACAGTATCCTTCGCCCTCCTGAGAATAGAAAGTGAGACAGTCCTTAGCCAGGAAGGAACAATTTACTAGCAAAAAAAAAGATTGGTAAAGGATTATCTTAGGTCAGAGGAAAAGTGCTCAGTTAGTGGATGGCAGTGTTCAGGTAGTGGATGGCAGTGTTCAGGTAGTGGATGGCAGTGTTCAGGTAGTGGATGGCAGTGTTCAGTTAGTGGATGGCAGTGTTTCAGGTAGTGGATGGCAGTGTTCAGTAGTGGATGGCAGTGTTCAGTTAGTGGATGGCAGTGTTCAGGTAGGGGATGGCAGTGTTCGGGTAGTGGATGGCAGTCGTTCAGGTAGGGGATGGCAGTGTTCAGGTAGTGGATGGCAGTGTTCAGGTAGTGGATGGCAGTGTTCAGTTAGTGGATGGCAGTGTTCAGGTAGTGGATGGCAGTGTTCAGTTAGTGGATGGCAGTGTTCAGGTAGTGGATGGCAGTGTTCAGTTAGTGGATGGCAGTGTTCAGGTAGTGGACGGCAGTGTTCAGGTAGTGGATGGCAGTGTTCAGGTAGTGGATGGCAGTGTTCAGTTAGGGGATGGCAGTGTTCAGGTAGTGGATGGCAGTGTTCGGGTTTAGTGGATGGCAGTGTTCAGTTAGGGGATGGCAGTGTTCAGGTAGTGGATGGCAGTTCAGTTAGTGGATGGCAGTGTTCAGTAGTGGATGGCAGTGTTCAGGTAGTGGATGGCAGTGTTCGGGTAGTGGATGGCAGTGTTCAGTTAGTGATGGCAGTGTCAATTAGTGGATGGCAGTGTTCAGGTAGTGGATGGCAGTGTTCAGTTAGTGGATGGCAGTGTTCAGGTAGTGGATGGCAGTGTTCAGTTAGTGGATGGCAGTGTTCAGGTAGTGGATGGCAGTGTTCAGTTAGTGGATGGCAGTGTTCAGTTAGTGGACGGCAGTGTTCAGTTAGTGGATGGCAGTGTTCAGTTAGTGGATGACAGTGTTCAGGTAGTGGATGACAGTGTTCAGGTAGTGGATGGCAGTGCTCAGTTAGTGGATGGCAGTGTTCAGTTAGTGATGGCAGTGTTCAGTTAGTGGAAGGCAGTGTTCATTTAGTGGATGGCAGTGTTCAGTTAGTGGATGGCAGTGTTCAGGTAGTGGATGGCAGTGTTCAGGTAGTGGATGGCAGTGTTCAGGTAGTGGATGGCAGTGTTCAGGTAAGGATGGCAGTGTTCAGGTAGTGGATGGCAGTGTTCGGGTAGTGATGTCAGTGTTCAGTTAGTGGGTGGCAGTGTTCAGGTAGTGGATGGCAGTGTTCAGTTAGTGGATGGCAGTGTTCAGTTAGTGGATGGCAGTGTTCAGTTAGTGGATGGCAGTGTTCAGTTAGTGATGGCAGTGTTCAGTTAGTGATGGCAGTGTTCAGTTAGTGGATGGCAATGTTCAGTTAGTGATGGCAGTGTTCAGTTAGTGGATGGCAGTGTTCAGTTAGTGGATGGCAGTGTTCAGTTAGTGAATGGCAGTGTTCAGTTAGTGATGGCAGTGTTCAGTTAGTGATGGCAGTGTTCAGTTAGTGGATAGCAGTGTTCATTTTAGTGGATGGCAGTGTTCAGTTAGTGATGGCAGTGTTCAGTTAGTGGATGGCAGTGTTCAGTTAGTGATGGCAGTGTTCAGTTAGTGGATAGCAGTGTTCAGTTAGTGGATGGCAGTGTTCAGTTAGTGGATGGCAGTGTTCAGTTAGTGGATGGCAGTGTTCAGTTAGTGATGGCAGTGTTCAGTTAGTGTGATGCAGTGTTCAGTTAGTTAGGATGGCAGTGTTCAGTTAGTGGATGGCAGTGTTCAGTTAGTGGATGGCAGTGTTCAGTTAGTGATGGCAGTGTTCAGTTAGTGGATGGCAGTGTTCAGTTTAGGGGATGGCAGTGTTCAGGTAGTGGATGACAGTGTTCAGGTAGTGATGGCAGTGTTCAGGTAGTGGATGGCAGTGTTCAGTTAGTGATGGCAGTGTTCAGTTAGTGGGTGGCAGTGTTCAGTTAGTGATGGCAGTGTTCAGTTAGTGATGGCAGTGTTCAGTTAGTGATGGCAGTGTTCAGGTAGTTGATGGCAGTGTTCAGTTAGTGATGGCAGTGTTCAGTTAGTGATGGCAGTGTTCATTAGTGATGGCAGTGTTCAGTTAGTGATGGCAGTGTTCAGTCAATAACAGGAGTTAAGTCAGGGACTGATTGTACACTGTTTTGTTTCACCTTTTAACCAGTCTTCTTTCTTGTTACAGGAACGTACAAGCTGGGGAAACTGTGTATAAAATTGTTAAGACAGGCCTGGCTGTCACTCAGGACGGTAAGTATTTCTCTTCCTGGCTGTCACTCAGGATGGTAAGTACGTCTGTTCCTGGCTGTCACTCAGGATGGTAAGTACGTCTGTTCCTGGCTGTCACACAGGATAGTAAGTACGTCTGTTCCTGGCTATTACATAGGATAGTAAGAACCTCTGTTCCTGGCTGACACATAGGATAGTAAGTACGTCTGTTCCTGGCTGTCACATAGGATGGTAAGTACGTCTGTTCCTTGCTGTCACATAGGATAGTAAGAACGTCTGTTCCAGGCTGTCACATACGATAATAAGTACGTCTGTTCCTGGCTGTCACATACGATTATAAGTACGTCTGTTCTTGGCTGTCACATAGCATGGTAAGTACGTCTGTTCTTGGCTGTCACATACTATAGTACGTCTGTTCCTGGCTGTCACATAGGATAGTAAGTATGTCTGTTCCTGGCTGTCACATAGGATAGTAAGTACGTTTGTTCCTGGCTGTCACATAGGATAGTAAGTACGTCTGTTCCTGGCTGTCACATAGGATAGTAAGTACGTCTGTTCCTATCTGCCACATAGGATAGTAAGTACGTCTGTTCCTGGCTGTCACATAGGATAGTAAGAACGTCTGTTCCTGGCTGTCACATAGGATAGTAAGTACGTCTGTTTCGGGCTGTCACATAGGATAGTAAGTACGTCTGTTCCTAGCTGTCTCTCAGGATTGTAAGTACGTCTGTTCGTGGCTGTCACTCAGGATGGTAATTACGTCTCTTCCCGGCTGTCACTCAGGATGGTAAGTACGTCTTTTCCCGGCTGTCACTCAAGATGGTAAGTACGTCTGTTCCTGGCTGTCACTCAGGATGGTAAGTACGTCTGTTCCTGGCTGTCACATAGGATAGTAAGTATGTCTGTTCCTGGCTGTCACTCAGGATGGTAAGTACGTCTGTTCCTGGCTGTCACATAGGATAGCAAGTGCGTCTGTTCCTGGCTGTCACTCCGGATGCTAAGTACGTCTGTTCCTGGCTGTCACTCAGGATGGTAAGTACTTCTGTTCCTGGCTGTCACATAGGATAGTAAGTACGTCTGTTCCTGGCTGTCACATAGGATGGTAAGTACGTATGTTCCTGGCTGTCACTCAGGAGGAAAAGACGTCTGTTCCGGGCTGTCATCAGGATGGCAAGTACGTCTGTTCCTGGCTGTCACTCAGGATGGCAAGTACGTCTGTTCCTGGTTGTCACTCAGAATGGCAAGTACGTTTGTTCCTGGCTGTCACTCAGGATGGCAAGTACGTCTGTTCCTGGCTGTCACATAGGATGGCAAGTACGTATGTTCCTGGCTGTCACTCAGGATGGCAAGTACGTCTGTTCCTGGCTGTCACTCAGGATGGTAAGTACGTCTGTTCCTGGCTGTCTCTCAGGATGGTAAGTACGTCTGTTCCTGGCTGTCACATAGGATGGTAAGTACGTCTCTTCCTGGCGGTCACATAGGATGGTAAGTACGTCTGTTCCCTGGGTGTCACTCAGGATGGCAAGTAGTCTTTTCTGGCTGTCACATAGGATGGTAAGTACGTATTTTCCCGGGCTGTCATTCAGATGGTAAGTACGTCGTTCTGGTGTCACTCAGGATGGTAAGTACGTCTTTTTCCTGGTGTCATCAGGATGGTAAGTACGTTGTTCCTGGCTGTTCTCGGATGGTAAGTACGTCTTTTTCCTGGCTGTCACTCAGGATGGTAAGTACTCTTTTTCCCTGGCTGTCAATCAGGTTGGTAAGTACGTATGTTCCGGCTGTCACTCAGGATGGTAAGTACGTCTGTTCCTGGCTGTCACTCAGGATGGTAAGTACGTCTGTTCCTGGCTGTCACTCAGGATGGTAAGTACGTCTGTTCCTGGCTTTCACTCAGGTTGGTAAGTACGTCTGTTCCTGGCTGTCACTCAGGATGGTAAGTACGTCTGTTCCTGGCTGTCTCTCAGGATGGTAAGTACGTCTGTTCCTGGCTGTCACTCAGGATGGTAAGTACGTCTGTTCCTGGCTGTCACTCAGGTTGGTAAGTACGTATGTTCCTGGCTGTCACTCAGGATGGTAAGTACGTCTGTTCCTGGCTGTCACTCAGGATGGTAAGTACGTCTGTTCCTGGCTGTCACTCAGGATGGTAAGTACGTCTGTTCCTGGATGTCACTCAGGATGGTAAGTACGTCTGTTCCTGGCTGTCACATAGGATGGTAAGTACGTCTGTTCCTGGCTGTCACTCAGGATGGTAAGTACGTCTGTTCCTGGCTGTCACTCAGGATGGTAAGTACGTCTGTTCCTGGCTGTCACATACGATAGTAAGTACGTCTGTTCCTGGCTGTCACTCAGGATGGTAAGTACATCTGTTCCTGGCTGTCACTCAGGATGGTAAGTACGTCTGTTCCTGGCTGTCACATAGGATGGTAAGTACGTCTGTTCCTGGCTGTCACATAGGATGGTAAGTACGTCTGTTCCTGGCTGTCACATAGGATGGTAAGTACGTCTGTTCCTGGCTGTCACTCAGGATGGCAAGTACGTCTGTTCCTGGCTGTCACATAGGATGGTAAGTACGTCTGTTCCTGGCTGTCACATGGATGGTAATTTACGTCTGTTCCTGGCTGTCACTCAGGATGGTAATTTACGTCTGTTCCTGGCTGTCAATAGGATGGTAAGTACGCTGTTCCTGGCGTCACTCAGGATGGTAAGTACGTCTGTTCCTGGCTGTCACATAGGATGGTAAGTACGTCTGTTCCTGGCTGTCACTCAGGATGGCAAGTGCGTCTGTTCCTGGCTGTCACATAGGATGGTAAGTACGTCTGTTCCTGGCTGTCACTCAGGATGGTAAGTACATCTGTTCCTGGCTGTCATATAGGATGGTAAGTACGTCTGTTCCTGGCTGTCACATAGGATGGTAAGTACGTCTGTTCCTTGCTGTCACATAGGATGGTAAGTACGTCTGTTCCTGGCTGTCACTCAGGATGGTAAGTACATCTGTTCCTGGCTGTCACATAGGATGGTAAGTACGTCTGTTCCTGGCTGTCACATAGGATGGTAAGTACGTCTGTTCCTGGCTGTCACTCAGGATGGTAAGTACGTCTTTTCCCTGGCGTCACACAGGATGGTAAGTCGTATGTTCCTGGCTGTCACTCGGAGGGTAAGAAACGTCTTCCTGGCTTTTCACATGGGAAATGGTAAGTACGTGTGTTCCTGGCTGTCACTCTTCGTTACACGTTGTGGTAGTGTTACCAACTCACTCTTCTTCTCTGTTACACAGTGTGACACAGTTGTTTAATATTATGAAGTTGTAAGAACTTGTGTAACATTTCTGTACATTGTTGGCAAGGTTGACAGTGATGGACAGTTAGTGAGACTGTGTTTTGCAGATTTGCGTGCTGATGTAGTGATGGTACACGACTCACAATTCTCATTATTATCCCTGACCTGCCTCGCCCAGGACCAGGCTACAAACTTCACCAAGGATGATATAAGATCGTGGTCGTATGGTATCTTTCCAGACAAAGAACGAGGAAAAGGAGGTAATTTATTGGTGGAATTTAGTGTTTGTATGTGTGTAAATAAGTCGACGTGGAAGTCATGGCATTTTATTTCAATAAAATGACTTAACTTGTATGTTGTGACTTATTTATATACATATACATTGTAGTATATGATAACTTGCTTTCATTGACTGGTTTTATCTTTAAACTCAAGTATTATAGTACCTCCGTCTATCAGTCTATTTAATGTTAAGATTATTTAGGACAGGAACATACGGAAATATATGACGGGTTTGGGGTCAACGCCCCAGGGGGCCCGGCCTGTGAACAGGCCCATTGTGGACAGGATCTGATAACCAGGTGTTTCTGTTGCCGCAGCAAACCGACGTCGAACCACAGCCGGTGGCCAGTGCTGACTTTAGGTGGCCCAAACCCGTGCTTCTGAAGAAAGCGAGGGGTCTATTGGTAATCCCTCTATGTATGCGAGAGGCAGTTGACAGTCTTGGGCCCCTTAACACTTCTCTGCAAAATAGTGATTATGTGTGAGTGACGGTGAAAATGTTGAATGATGACGAATATTCTTTTTGGGATTTTCTTCTTTTTGGGCCACCTGCCTCGGTTGGGAGACGGGCCGATTGTGAAAAAAAAAAATTACACTGTATTCGGGAATGTGCAAAGCATTGTTATTGGTCGGAAATTTAATATCGTTGTTCGTCTAATTTGATGGGTTTGATACCCGGGTTGTCTTGGAGTGACCCCACGAAGATACGAAGCTCAAGCGGGTATGAAAAAAATCTTCAAATGGCCATCGAGCGTTTGAAGGAATTTCAATATGACTTAGATATGGAAACTTGGGAATTAAAGCGTATCTGGGTATAGTAAATTCTAACCGCAATCAGCTTAAAGTAATGTGAAGGGACCTGGGGTGAATGTCAGAAGGATCTCGCCTTCAAGACCACAAAAAAATGTATCTACCTTATCTCTAGGAAAAGATTAGGATGGATAATGAGAACCTTCAAAAACTAGGGACGCCAAGCCCATGACGATTCTCTTCAAATCGCTTGTTCTCTCTAGGCTGGTTACTGCTGTACACTAACTGCCCTCTTCAAGGCAGGCGACATTGCGACCTGGAGAGTGTACAAAGAACTTTCACGGTACACATAATACGATAAGGCACCTAAATTACTGGGGATTGTTGAAGGGCCCTGATCTGTATTTCCCGTAGGGGAGGCGAGAGAGATACATAATAATATACACTTGGAAAATCCTAGAGATATTAGTACCAAACTTGCACACGAAAATCCCTTCCTATGAAAGCAAAAGACTCGGTAGGAGGTGCAACATTTCCCCAATGAAAAGCAGGGACGTCACGAGTACACTGAGAGACAACACAATAAGTGTCCGGGGCCCAAGACTGTTCAACTGCCTTGCAGCATACATAAGGGAGATTACCAATAGACCCCTGGCTGTCTTCATGAAGGCGCTGCACAGGCACCTAAAGTCAGTACTTGACCATCTGGGCTGTGGTTCGTACGTCAGTTTGCGTGGGACCAGCAGTAACAGCCTGGTTGATCATACCCTGATCCACCTCGAGGCCTGGTCTCAGACCAAGCCGCGGGGGCGTTGACCCCCGAAACCCTCTCCAGGTAGTATCAGTAGCGACCAAATGAAAAGCAACGGTATCGACATTAAATCGAGTATTGGTACGGGTAAAAATTTTAGTATCGTCCCATCTCCAATAAACATTATAAGAGGATACATATTAACCACATACAATATATAGTTACAAGATGATACATAAACACATATGGTACATAGGTATGAGAGGATACATAATAACCACATACAGTACAGGGTATAGTTCTGAGAGGATATGAAACAAGTGATAAGCAAGGTTATCTAACACCATTAACAGTTAGACAACAGAAGAAAAAGGTGCCAAAAAGTATACTAGAAAGTTCTTGGCAAATAGTGATACAATAATAGAATTATTTACACGAGAAGGTAGTAAACAATTAAGTTTATTTAGGCAAAGATACGTAAAATAAGATTTTGTTGGGATTTTTAACCCCGGAGGGTTAGCCTCCTAGGATAACTCGAGAAAGTCAGTGCGTCATCGAGGGACTGTGTCTTATTTCCATTGTGGTCTTCAATCTTGTCACCCAGGATGCGACCCACACCAGTCGACTAACACACAGGCACCTACTTCCTTGCTAGGTAAACAGGACAGCAGGTGTTAGGACACGCATCCAATGTTTCCACCCTTGCCGGGGATCTAATCACGAACTCTTTTGTGAGAGGAGTGTTTCATACGCAATGTATTATAAGTAATAAAGGCAGGATAGAAGTTTATGTTCCTGTAGCTACAAATAAATAATGGGTTGAGCGCTTAGTTTTAATTCTAATAATAATAATAATAATAATAATAATAATAATAATAATAATAATAATAATAATAATAATAAAAATAATAATACAAATAAATAAAATAAGTACACAAAAAAGCGCACATAGGAGAGAGGAGCTTACGTCATGGTAAGTTCCTGTCTTCTATCTGCGGGTTATTTGTATATCGTTCCAGTCACGGTATTGTGCCTCTTTTGTTATCTAAAAGGAGTACACACAGCTACGTGAATCAACATTTAGTTTACAATCGAATATTGTGACTAAATGTTTACTAATATAAGTGGTTATAAGGGCAATGTGTGGTTTAAATATTATGCAGAAAATTCGGAAGGTGGAAATTAGGAGGTGTGGAGTTAATAAAAGTATTAGTCAGAGGGCAGAAGAGGGGTTGTTGAGGTGGTTTGGTCATTTAGAGAGAATGGATCAAAGTAGAATGACATGGAGAGCGTATAAATATGTAGGGGAAGGAAGGCGAGGTAGGGGTCGTCCTTGAAAAGCTTGGAGGCAGGGGGGTTAAGGAGGTTTTGTGGGCGAGGGGCTTGGACTTCCAGCAAGCGTGCATGAGCGTGTCAGATAGGAGTGAATGGAGACGAATGGTATTTGGAACCTGACGAGCTGTTGGAGTGTGAGCAGGGTAATATTTAGTGAAGGGATTCAGGGAAAGAGGTTATTTTTATATAGTCGGACTTGAGTCCTGGAAATGGGAAGTACAATGCCTGCACTTTAAAGGAGGGGTTCGGGATATTAGCAGTTTGGAGGGATATGTTGTGTATCTTTATACGTATATACTTCTAAACTGTTGTGTTCTGAGCACCTCTGCAAAAACAGTGATTATGTGTGAGTGTGGTGAAAGTGTTGAATGATGATGAAAGTATTTTCTTTTTGGGGATTTTCTTTCTTTTTGGGTCACCCTGCCTCGGTGGGAGACGGCCGACTTGTTGAAAAAAAGTGGTTATAGTTTTTTTTAGACATAAATATGTGTTTCGTTGCAGCAATGCGGACCGTAGCTAAAAGAAAAATAGTTTTGACGACCTCTGGTGCAAACCAACATGCCTTCCGTTGTCTGGGTCGAAGTTCAGCTACAGATGTCTTGGCTGTTATCTCCTTCCCTAAAAGTAAGTGTGGCACTTAATGACTTCATCATAACTTAGAAGTAAGTGTGGCACTTAATGACTTCATCATAACTTAGAAGTAAGTGTGGCACTTAATGACTTCATCATAACTTAGAAGTAAGTGAGGCACTTAATGACTTCATCATAACTTAGAAGTAAGTGTAGCACTTAATGACTTCATCATAACTTAGAAGTAAGTGAGGCACTTAATGACTTCATCATTAATCTTACACTCATCACCTCTAATCTTACACTCATCACCTCTAATATTACTCATCACCTCTAATCTTATACTCATCACCTCTAATTTTACACTCATCACCTCTAATATTACATTCATCACCTCTAATCTTACATTCATCACCTCTCATCTTACACTCATCACCTCTAATCTTACACTCATCACCTCTCATCTTACACTCATCACCTCTAATCTTACACTCATCACCTCTCATCTTACACTCATCACCTCTAATCTTACACTCATCACCTCTCATCTTACACTCATCACCTCTAATCTTACACTCATCACCTCTCATCTTACACTCATCACCTCTAATCTTACACTCATCACCTCTCATCTTACACTCATCACCTCTAATCTTACACTCATCACCTCTCATCTTACACTCATCACCTCTAATCTTACACTCATCACCTCTCATCTTACACTCATCACCTCTAATATTACACTCATCACCTCTAATCTTACACTCATCACACCTCATCTTACACTCATCACCTCTAATATTACACTCATCACCTCTAATATTACACTCATCACCTCTAATCTTACACTCATCACACCTCATCTCACACTCATCACCTCTAATGTTTCACCCATCACCTCTAATCTTACATTCATCACCTCTAATATTACACTCATCACCTCTAATCTTGTAATAAAGTTGGTAGAATTACCGACAATATGTAAAGTAAAAGGACACAAGTGCAACTAATGTGACATTTATTGTGGCAACGTTTCGCTCTCCAGGAGCTTTATCAAGCCATTACAAACAATACATGGACACAGAGGGTATATAAAGGCTCAGAGTGAGGTGAATACTAGTGAGGTACCATTTCGATGTTCACTAGTGGTAGTAGTAGTAGTAGTAGTAGTAGTGGTGGTAGTGACAAAAGTAATACAATATGGTAGAGCAATTAATTCGTACATGAGTAAAAGGATATAAAAGCTAATTACTTGGGTAACATAAAAATAGGTTGGACAAATATAAACTGGAATGAGGCAGCTTGTTTCAGTGTTCACTCTCTGTGCTTTGTGTAGTATAACAGGAGAGACTATGTGATGGCAGGGTTTACTGTTTTCAGGAGGATTCTTGCTAAGACTTCGGAGATGGTGAAGCTGCCGTTGTTTTTGTTTAATTGTATTCGAAACAGCGATCAGTGCTGATTCGGGGAAAACTTGCGTCTGCGGAAATTAGTTTCTTTGATCACTAATTGGGCGTCTCTGAATTTCATGAGATGATTGGTGGAATTTCGGTGTTGTACACAGGCGTTGTTCAGGTTATCGTTCCTACATGCGTAAATGTGTTCATTGAGGCGGGTGTCGAGGTTTCTGGCTGTTTCACCTACGTAAATCTTGTCACAGCCTCCACAGGGTATAGTGTAAACTCCTGCATTGACTGGTTCGTGGTGCTTGGATTTTGTCCTGGTTTATACCTTTATTGAAGTGCTAGAAGCGATGGCGACTCTGGTGTTAGCTTGTGAAAGTGCTTTTGAGGCGTTCAGTGCAACCTGACTGTTGGGAAGAATTATAACTTTGCTGGGAGTGGTGTTGATGCGTGGAGAATTTATGATCTGAAGAGCTCTTTTCTTGCAGTCTTTGATGAAGAAAGAAGGAAAATGTAACTCTGTGAATGTTTGGTGAATGTATGTACACTCCTCGTCAAGAAACTCAGGACTACAAATTCGGTATTGCTCTTAGGAAAACCCGATGATGATGCCTCTTTTGGTCTTGGTATCTTGACTGGAATAGAAGTGTGTGAGATCATTTTTATTGGTGGGTTTTCCGATAAACTTGAAATCTTAGGTTGTTGTCTACTTTGTGAATGAGGACGTCGAGGAAAGGTAGCTTGTCATTGGACTCTTCTTCTAGTGTAAACTGGATCGCCGGTTCAACTGCGTTGAGCCTTGCCTGAAGATCCCGTACATCAAAACGTTTTGGAGTTATTACGAGGACATCGTCCACGTAACGTAACCAAGTGACGCTTGAAGGGATGATGTTGGCGAAGTGTTCGGACTCTAGGTGTTCCATGTATAAGTTGGCTAGGACGGCACTGATGGGGGACCCCATTCCCATGCCGTAGGTTTGTTTGTAGAGCTTGTTATTGAAAGAAAAACAGTTGAAATTAACACAGAGTTCAATTAAGTCAACAAAATCTCCGGGAGGTAGAGGAAGATTAAGGTCCTGATTGACTTTACGTCGTAGAACCTCGATGGCTTTTTTGGTAGGTACTTTTGTGAAGAGGGAAGTCACATTCAAACTGCTTAGTTTCTTGTTACGGATGGAGAGGTTACGGATGCGGTTGAGAAGATCACCTGAGTGTTTAAGATGAGCGGGGCTGATGGTCCCCAGAAGGCAGGAAAGATGTTTGGCAAGAACTCCGGCTAGTTTGTGTGGAGCACTGCCAATTCCTGACGTGATTGGTCTGAGAGGAATATTGTGTTTATGGGTCTTGGGTAAACCATACATGTGTGCTGGTTTAGGGTTGCTTGGTAACAAGTACAGAAGTTTCTTCCCTTCTCTACTCAAACGCACTAGAGAAGGGAAGAAACTTCTGTACTTGTTACCAAGCAACCCTAAACCAGCACACATGTATGGTTTACCCAAGACCCATAAACACAATATTCCTCTCAGACTAATCACGTCAGGAATTGGCAGTGCTCCACACAAACTAGCCGGAGTTCTTGCCAAACATCTTTCCTGCCTTCTGGGGACCATCAGCCCCGCTCATCTTAAACACTCAGGTGATCTTCTCAACCGCATCCGTAACCTCTCCATCCGTAACAAGAAACTAAGCAGTTTGGATGTGACTTCCCTCTTCACAAAAGTACCTACCAAAAAATCCATCGAGGTTCTACGACGTAAAGTCAATCAGGACCTTAATCTTCCTCTACCTCCCGGAGATTTTGTTGACTTAATTGAACTCTGTGTTAATTTCAACTGTTTTTCTTTCAATAACAAGCTCTACAAACAAACCTACGGCATGGGAATGGGGTCCCCCATCAGTGCCGTCCTAGCCAACTTATACATGGAACACTAGAGTCCGAACACTTCGCCAACATCATCCCTTCAAGCGTCACTTGGTTACGTTACGTGGACGATGTCCTCGTAATAACTCCAAAACGTTTTGATGTACGGGATCTTCAGGCAAGGCTCAACGCAGTTGAACCGGCGATCCAGTTTACACTAGAAGAAGAGTCCAATGACAAGCTACCTTTCCTCGACGTCCTCATTCACAAAGTAGACAACAACCTAAGATTTCAAGTTTATCGGAAACCCACCAATAAAATGATCTCACACACTTCTATTCCAGTCAAGATACCAAGACCAAAAGAGGCATCATCATCGGGTTTTTTCCTAAGAGCATACCGAATTTGTAGTCCCGAGTTTCTTGACGAGGAGTGTACATACATTCACCAAACATTCACAGAGTTACATTTTCCTTCTTTCTTCATCAAAGACTGCAAGAAAAGAGCTCTTCAGATCATAAATTCTCCACGCATCAACACCACTCCCAGCAAAGTTATAATTCTTCCCAACAGTCAGGTTGCACTGAACGTCTCAAAAGCACTTTCACAAGCTAACACCAGAGTCGCCATCGCTTCTAGCACTTCAATAAAGGATATAACCAGGACAAAATCCAAGCACCACGAACCAGTCAATGCAGGAGTTTACACTATACCCTGTGGAGGCTGTGACAAGATTTACGTAGGTGAAACAGCCAGAAACCCCGACACCCGCCTCAATGAACACATTTACGCATGTAGGAACGATAACCTGAACAACGCCTGTGTACAACACCGAAATTCCACCAATCATTTCATGAAATTCAGAGACGCCCAATTAGTGATCAAAGAAACTAATTTCCGCAGACGCAAGTGCCTCGAATCAGCACTGATCGCTGTTTCGAATACAATTAAACAAAACAACGGCAGCTTCACCATCTCCGAAGTCTTAGCAAGAATCCTCCTGAAAACAGTAAACCCTGCCATCACATAGTCTCTCCTGTTATACTACACAAAGCACAGAGAGTGAACACTGAAACAAGCTGCCTCATTCCAGTTTATATTTGTCCAACCTATTTTTATGTTACCCAAGTAATAGCTTTTATATCCTTTTACTCATGTACGAATTAATTGCTCTACCATATTGTATTACTTTTGTCACTACCACCACTACTACTACTACTACTACTACTACCACTAGTGAACATCGAAATGGTACCTCACTAGTATTCACCTCACTCTGAGCCTTTATATACCCTCTGTGTCCATGTATTGTTTGTAATGGCTTGATAAAGCTCCTGGAGAGCGAAACGTTGCCACAATAAATGTCACATTAGTTGCACTTGTGTCCTTTTACTTTACACCTCTAATCTTACACTCATCCCCTCTAATCTTACACCCATCACCTCTAATCTTACACCCATCTGTTTAATGCGATTATTTGGTAGGCTGTTGCGGGTGCGTGAATGCTAAATCTTCGGAGGCTTCTTACTTTATTTGCAAAGTCTTGGTGGGTACACAGGTTTGTGTGTTGTGCCCGTGGCCCGGGTAGGGCCATCCCACGAGAGGAGAGAGCTACTAGGCCTTCTGTCTTGCTGCTAGGCCGCTGAGAGAGTGAGTGAGTGTGGGACCAGCATCCCACAGACTTTGGGCTGGCCCAGAGGGCAGCACCTTAGTGGCGCGAAATATGAACTAAGCTGGCAGACAGCATAGGCTGTCTGTGCAGACAATACAGGCTGTCTACATAGGCTCGG